TCTTTTTCGATAGGAACCTTAACCATGTTAGCGGATGTTTCCTTCCATTTGTTGAAGAAAGAAGTGAACCCTTCGTTTTCCTTTTGTTTTAACATCTCAAGTTGTTTGTGGTTAGTTTCGTCTTGAATGTTGCACTTATATCTATCTAAGAAAGCGTTTGTTATCGACTCCCAAGAAGAGGTTTTCTCTTTGTCAAGGGAAAAGAGCCATTGTTGAAAAACAATCTCAAGGGATAAAGAAACAAAGAATGAAAGACTTTCTTGTCAATCCCCTTAATGTTCATTATAGTTTCAAAAGCTCTTAGATGAAAGTAAGGGTTATTTGTTGCCTTGAATTTTGGGATGTCGTTGGCGTTGAACTTATGCAGAAGAAGTTCCTTGTCCAGCGAGACCCCTTGTGAACTAATGCCTTGAAATTTATAGTCACTAGATAGCTTTCTCAAGCTTTCTTGCTTAAGGTTCATTTCTTGTTGCTTCACAGGGTCATCAATTTTGAGGGTTAAAGCCTTTAACGCCTCAATCACGTCAGTCAATTGACTCCTAAGTTCATTGACTTTTTCTTGAGTTGCCATTATCTTTTTAGCTTTTCTCTTTTGATGAATCGATTTATCAAAAAGTAAGACTTGAATAAAGAGGTTGTCCTTGATTAATCGCTTTCTCTCCACGACCAAGTACTGTGGAAAAGGAATTCGGGGATATTCATTGTTAATTATTTGACTCAAACTCTATTCAACATGTAATGGATAGAGGAAGTGAAGAAAGATGATGTAGACGGAGGGATATGAAGAAATTAGGAATAGAATGTACCCCCAACTCAAACGACGGAAAAAACTGACTCATGCATGAACCTAAGACATGGTCATGGTCACATATACTCAAAGTATGTTCTAAGACTAGTGAGTGTAGGTGACATATTAAGACTCGTGTCATGACCATGTGGCTAGACTATGTGACTAGACTCAACTAATGACTTAACAAGGTATAATTAACAGTAAAAATCAACCGAATTAATTAGCAAACTGTTTAATTAGACACAAGGTGATGACTTGAGCAATAAACCGAACTGTCACCAAAACGACAAGAGAGGCGCCGCACTACAAAGTGTATCGTCAGATGATAGAGTTGTCGCCGGGCGCTACACTCCACAAAGTGGCGCTGCAGTCCAAATCTCGGCGCCAGTGCTAGAACGTTGATTTGGAGCTGCTTTCAGGGTTATTACTTTACAGGGTATGCCTAAATTCGTACTAAGTTAACTCTGATTAGATTATTAGACTCTAATTACAAAAATTAATTAATTATTAATTAAGAAAAGTTCTTTTAGTCATTAATTTATTTAATCTTAGCACAAGTCAAACAAACACTTAGGAGAAACATATAGAGTATGCACAACAAATAACGCACAATTAGTCAAGTAGGCACAATATGATGCCTGAAAAGATTCCTCAAGGAAGCTCGGCGAACAACAACCTAACCATGGCTCTAGTTCTCTAAATTTTGGGATACGGGTTAGTCAAAGAGGTTCCATGGTTAATTGTCCGGATGCACCGGGCAGAAGCCTAACCGTGAAGGTGAAGGGTTGGCGCGAGTGGATGGGACACCGCGAGTTAAAAAACTCGCTTCCATGGTTTGGTGAATTCAACATTTTCGGATGTACCCTTTGTTGCTCAGAGCGTTCAATCAGGTAGATGGAGCATGAATTCCCAGAGGGTTATGTCCACATGTAGAACACATATGGCTTTCAGAAAAGTGAGGAAAACTCAATCAGGAAATAGGATCGAGCAAATAGTGCTAAAAACTAGTCGAAATCAGAACGCATATTTTTGGCTCGGTATTGGAAGAACTTGGCGCCAGCAAACAGAGGCTGGAGCCAGCTTTCAGCTTTAGCGCCTGGCGGAAGAGACTGTCGTACGACGCTAAAGTTAAAATACTGGCGCTAATCTTTGTTCGCTGACGCTAGTTCCAACATGCCTCAGCATCTTTCTGTGCTCGATAAAATTTTCCAGTTTCACGCAGTGTTATTTCGATTCTAGTTGTGAAAGATATTCCTGAAATTACTTACGTGTAAAAATCCTATGTTTTAACTTATTACGGATGGTCTTTCCAATGAGATCTTTTTTATGCATATGACAAAAATGTTAATCAAAATAATGCACATGAAATACTTAGAACTTTTCGAGTCTCATCCACTCATTCTAAATCATTGCCGAAATAAATTTCAGGAATTAAAATAGAAATCCTCCCCATTGGAGACGTCAAAAAATTGTAGGGAATATTTCAAGCGTTACCCCTAAGCTTGAACCCCATTGTGATCATACACTAAAGTACGGTGGCGTCGAAATGGAAAGAAGATAGAGCAAAAGAGTCACCAACAAGTTTTAGGAACTTGTAAACCGTTCACGAGGTGAAGGTTACACCCCTTAACGATCCAGGAGATCGTCAACTCCAATAGGTCTGGAACCATGACTGGTAGTTCGAGGATGAAGGAACAAATCATACCTAAAAGAGATTGAACCTGCCCTTATAATAGCCCTCTACTTTATTCTGATCGTATTCATGTGCGCTTTCTGACTAACATGCAATCAATAGGTTTAACCCTAAACCTTTTTATCTCTATGTTGGTTGAATATTAATGCACAAATAAACTATTATTGGCGATCACTTGAATTATAATCATATTAACCCTAAACAAGATTATTAATTATCTTATTAAGCGTGATTACAAGTACCAATTCCCTTTAAACATGCATAAAAGGTGTGATGAAGCAATAACAATAAATATAATCAAGCAACATAATAATCATAACAATTAATCATCATCAAAACAATAATATTCATAATCATGTTCATGTTAAAAATAAAGCATAATAATAGCAAGATCCTAGGCATGATACTAACAAGATTAATAACAAACCCTAGCATGTCACTAAACAATAAAAATAAAATATTTAGGTCTAACATGATACTAACAATCATAAATATTAGGAAGAAAATAAAAGGCATCATACTTGATATTAGCATTTTTTAGTTGTTACCCTAAACATGATACTAGGAAGATCAAAACACCCTAACATGACGCTGGGAATCATAACTAAGCAGGATTTCTATATCATAATAACAATGAAACCAATTAAAGCACTTACTTGGATGCCTCATACCTCTTTCTAATAATAAAATACACACGTTAGTAACTTCAAGGAAAATAATAAACAACAATTAAATTAAGTACTAACTGAAATAGAGATTACGGACCAAACCCTCAAAAATTAAAACCTTTCACATTTAAGGCGAAGACAACTTCGAACAATGCAAGGTTTGTCTAGTGCTAACGTATGAGGAATTTTGTTTGTAAAAGGCTAGGCTAGAAAGAGGGAGAGAATAAAGAAATTCTTGATGAGAGTTGATGAATAGAGAGAGTTGGTGAATGAAAACGGAGTTTTAAAAAGGCTATTTATAGAGAAAATCAACCAAAAAGATAGAAAATCAAAATAGAATTCTGACGCGCAAAAACCAGGCTAGCGCCAGACGCTGACATTAGCACCAAGCGCTAACGCTAGCGCTAGGCGCCAAGCTTAGCGTCAGGCGCTAATGCTGGCGTTTGGCGCTAACTTATTTATTGACGCGTTTTCTTAAAATCAGATAGAAATTGACCGTACAGGAGGATAAAATCGTATTTTCCTCAAAAACATTCTTTTATTCTGATTAAAACTCTAAAAAAGTCAACAAAAGTCAATTTATCAATGCTACTTGAATTAGGAATGAAAAGAAGCTTCTAGAAGAATCTAGAAGACTAAAACCCTTCCTAATTACATTAGGAATGATAAATCCATATTAGGCCCTCCCCTAGATCATTGGGCCGCATATAAGGCTCAAACCACGCCCATTTCAGTAATTTGGCCATAACTTCCTCAATATTCATCGGAATTGGGCTTATAATATATCGCTGGAAAGCTCATTTCAAGCCCTCTCCAACTACACTACTATTGGACACATATTATGGACCAACCAAACTAGATTGGACATTTTCTTAAAATAGGTTTTCAAAAATAGAGAGAAAAGAAGAGAAATTAAAACTATCCGCAACACTAGACTTTCCACACTTTCACTTCATTCGATTATGATTCTACGTGAAAGGTATTAATCACTGGGTTTGGTTTTGGGGAGACACAAATGGGTGTCTACAATAGCCCTCTACTTTATTCTTCTCGTATTCACACTAGTGGAAAAATCCTCATCCGTAACGGGCAAACAGGGGTCATCCGTAACGGGCAGCGTCCCTTACGTATGCGACCGTTACGGATGGCCATTGTTATTCGTAACGGGCACTGTCCGTTACGAATAATGAGTTATTCATAACGGACATTTCAAATGTCCGTTACGAATAATGGGTTATTCGTAACTGACATTTCAGACGTCCGTTACGAATAATGGAAATGTCAGTTACGAATAACTCATTATTCGTAACTAACATTTCAGATGTCCGTTACGAATAACCCATTATTCGTAACTGACATTTTAGATGTCCGTTACGAATAACCCATTATTCGTAACTGACATTTTAGATGTCCGTTACGAATAACCCATTATTCGTAACGGACGTTTTAAATGTTAGTTACGAATAAGGGGTTATTCGTAATGGACATCTGAAATGTCAGTTACGAATAAATTTTTTTTGTATTAAAATAAGTCCTTATTTGTAACGGGCACCTAAAACGCCCGTTACGAATAAGTGATTATTCATAACTGACATCTTAAATGTCCGTTACGAATAGAGTTTTATTGTATATAATTTAACACTTATTTGTAACGGGCAACAAAAGTGCCCGTTACGAATAACTGGTTATTTGTAACTGACAATTTTGCTGCCCGTTACAAATAATTATTAAATTAAATTTTCATTTTATTTAATTTCGACAGCATGTATTTATATATAATTAATATATATTAATTAAAACCTGTTATAATATACCTGATCCTGTAAATAAGCAATTATACCGAACAATCTTTCGTAAAAATTAATATGACGTAATATAAAAACTGAAGTAGTAACACATTACAAATAAAAACTTGTATAAATTTATCCAACATATACAACAATACTAAAAATATTACATTGTTCTACCTAAGCTAATAGTTATGCATTCAATAAATATTTACTTCTAAAGTATTGCGCCCATTGTTCTCGAACCACATTCAACTCGTCAACATCATACGGGGCGGTCCTTGGACAAAAATCCTATTGAAAAAAAAAACATATGAACGAGGTTACAAAATAAAAACAATCCATAATAAAAACAATCATTAGAATAAATGTGATGAACCAAATTATAGAAATAAAACTCATAACATATAAATAAAACGCATATCATCCTTAATCAACTTATATTTTGATTTCTATGAGTTGAAATCAATAAAAAAGTTAACATTTACTCACTTTTGGGAGCGTATAGAGCCAAAAAGGCTTCAAAATTGTGCTAAAGGACTTCTATCTTTCCCATCTTTCAAGTATTGGTTCAAATTAACACAATGTAACACATAACATCCTTAATTATCTTATTTTTTGGTTTCTATGAATTGAAATCAATGAAAACTGACCATTATCTCACTCTTGGGAGCGTATAGAGCCAAAAACGCTTCAAAATTGCCTAAGGGCCTTCTACCTTTCCCATCATTCAAGTATTTGTTCAAATTAACACAATATAATACTAAACATACTTAATTACCTTATATTTTGGTTTCTATGAATTGACATCAATTAAAAGTAACCGTTTACTCACTTCTAGGAGCGTATAGAGCCAAAAAGGCTTCAAAATTGCCTAAGGGACTTCTACCTTTCCCATCTTTCATGTATTGGTTCAAATTAACACAATATAATACTAAACATCCTTAATTACCTTATATTTTGATTTTTATGAATTGAAATCAATGAAAATTGACCATTATCTTACTCTTGGGAGCTTATAGAGCCAAAAACGCTTCAAAATTGCCTAAGGGACTTCTACCTTTCCCATCTTTCAAGTATTTGTTCAAATTAACACAATAAAACACATAAAATCCTTAATTACCTTATATTTTGGTTTTTATGAATTGAAATCAATGAAAATTGACCACTATCTCACTCTTGGGAGCATATAGAGCCAAAAACGCTTCAAAATTGTGTAAGGGACTGCTACCTTTCCCATCTTTCTAGTATTTGTTCAAATTAACAAAATATAATACTAAACATCCTTAATTACCTTATATTTTTGTTTCTATGAATTGAAACCAATGAAAATTGACCATTTACTCACTTTTAGGCGCGTATAGAGCCAAAAAGGCTTCAAAATTGCCTAAAGGACTTCTACCTTTCCTATCTTTCATGTATTGTTTCAAATTAACACAATATAACACTAAACATCCTTAATTACCTTATATTTTGGTTTTTATGAATTGAAATCAATAACAATTGACCATTATCTTACTCTTGGGAGCAGATAGAGCTAAAGAGGTTTCAAAATTTGCAAAAAAAAAAAAACTACTAACCTCATCTAAGATACCTTTGCACTCAAAGTGAGTAGTAACAATCTCATACATGTATCTCATAATGTAGTAGCCACATTCAACGCCTCCTTGTTGAGCACACTAGTATATATAACAAATAGTTAAAAATTTTGTTTTCAAAGTGATCAATGTATAACAATATGGGGTGAGTAGTGTATTTACCTCCATTTGTATGAATTTCAATTTTTGCCTTTGTGATTTCAATTCACTCCCTGTGAAATTCGCCCGATATACTTTATAAGCCCTACAAAAATAATATATATTCTAACACTTAGAACAAAATAATCTACAACACCACATACAAAAATGATATAGAAACTAGGGCATAATTTCAAGGTTGTGGCTCACGTCATCATAATCTTGGCAATTTTCAATTTTCGTGGATTTTCTTTAGGTAGCTTCATAGAGTCAAACTCATAAGCTAAACCTAATTGTAGATCGACCACCACAAGAACCCAATGACCACTATATCATTTAAGAGAAAAACACAAGTTAGAGTATTGGAAAATTGGTGAAAAACATATCATTTATATGATTAAGTTTAGTGGCAATATAAAAAACATATTTCGAACCTTGCGACATATGGAGCCACAATGAATTTGCAACGTTTACCCGTCTTTCTTACTTCATGCAAAAATGTATTCTTCACATATGTATAAGTTTCAAGGTAATCATTCTCAATTGAATGTTCAGAAATGAGTTGAGGACAAAAGAATGTGATCTCAGTCCTGTTGAAAAGGTCGATGAAGTTGTCTACTAAATACCTACATGATAAAGACATAGAAAACAAAAAATTCAGCATTATAGCATCAAAAATATTACTATAGTGAATATAAGAACCAAAGTAAAGGAAGATTAAGTAACCTACATGATATAAACATGAATTAATGAAACATTAGCCCACGATCCTCTTAGAAATTCACGTACATCGGTAGCGGTTACCCAAATCTGTTTGTCGCTATCAAAATTAAACATTGAGGCCTTTAAAAGTACCGATGTTGTATCATACTTTGCATCATCAGAATTCATTAACCAATACAACAACTCACACCCCTCGTCAAATACCTTTTCATCGTATTGTGATTTGGGTAACCGCTACCGATGTACGTGAATTTCATCAGATGTTGTGTTGCCTCCATGTTCGTCATCACTTGCATTCCTTGTAAGACATGAGATAAGTTTTATGTTGATAATACAAATACCTTTTCATCGTATTGTGATTGGTTTTTTTACTCATTTTAAAGGATTAACCTTATTGATAAACTATATAGTGAGATAGTTTCATGAGAAATGAGTAATTTAAATATCATAATAAGTAACAACTTATTATTATTATTTTATTGACAAAAAGATACTATCACATAAATGGGGGAATGAGTATCGAACCCCCAACCACTTGAGGGCATCCCTCAATCTCTTATGTCCTCTATTTGTTCATTTCAATGTGGAAGTCAAAAGACTGAAAACATGGATAACCATAGGTTGACTACTTGAGCTACTAGCAAACTTAAATCTATACTAATTTTGCCAGTTGTATTGTACTAGTCAAATAAGCCAACCTTCCATATAAAACAATAAACATGCAATCTAGTGAATCTACATTACATTCCTAATCTAAAATCATTTGAATAAACAAAATAATTAGCAATTTTATAAAGAAAATCTCTCCTTAGATGCCAAATCTTTTGCAAGACATATTAAAAAAAATACCAGTACATTTCAACCTCACTTTAGACAATCCACCAAACAGTCAAAAATAATGCACGTAGAAGTTCCTAGTGCAGGGAGAAGTATTGCATTATTTTAACTAATGGTATTCCATTCAACTGATAAGTGGTATTAAAAATGACTTAGTCAGCTATCTTTAGCAAAGAAAAACTATATATCTTAGGTAAGACTATAGGAGACAACAAGACTGAAACACAAGTGCAGAGAGAGACCAAGGCCGCAATTTAATTAGAGCACAAAATATACAACTACCTCTTGATCAAAGCGAGAATCTTTTTGTGCCCATTGGTAATCACATCCAAAGCTTATCATGCGCAGGGCAACTGCAAATAAACGGATTCACGATGTAAGGGGGGATCCAGAAAGATAGTAATAATTTGGGGAAAAATCAATCAATTAATTCATACTTAGCTTAAAATTCAAAGGCTTTTAAACTAAAACATAATAAAACCCAGAACAAATGGAAAATAGTAAAATCAATCAATTAATTTGGGGAAAAAAATAAAACCTATAATTAAGTAATTGCAATTAAGTAAACTGAAACAAGGGTTACGAAATTGGGGGAGGAGAGAGAAAGAGTACGCTTTAATGGAGAACTATGAGCGCTTCAATGGAGAAATCAGACAGCGCTTCAATGGAGAACTCAGACAGGGCTTCAATGGACAACTCGGAGTGCGCTTCAATAATGGAGAACTCGGAGTGCGCTTCAATAATGGAGAACTCAAAGTGCACTTCAATGGAGGAGAAGAGTGAGAATGAGAGGAGCAAAAGATTGAACTGAGCTTGGAGCTCCTTCAATGGAGTTCAGGGAGGTGAGGACGACGACCTTGCGCGCGGGAGCTACTTCAATGTTGGAGAAAGAGGAAATTTTTTGACAGAGGGAGTGAGAAAGGGGAAAGTAAAAATTTAGGGCTTACTTTAAAACCTTATTCGTAACGAACACCCCATGTTAGTTATAAATAACAAGGTCAAAATTCTGTTGACTTTTCTATTTGTAACGGGCAATATTTGTTGGTTACGATTAGTTAGTTAATCGTAACGAGCAGAATAATGCCTGTTACAAATAACAACTTATTCGTAACGGGCACCAATCTGTCCGTTACGAATAACAACTTATTCGTAATGGGCACCAATTTGTTCGTTACGAATAACTTTTTTCCTGCCCAATTCACAACTTTTTTGTAACGGACATTGAATTTGCCCGTTACGAATGACATAATTGTAACGGAAAATCATATGTCCGTTACGAATAGCTTGTTACAAATAAGATTTTTTCCACTAGTGTCATGTGCGCTTTCTAACTAACATGCAATCATTAAGTTTACCCTAAACCTTTTTAATCTATGTTGGTTGAATATTAATGCACAAATAAAACTATTTTTCGCGATCACTTGAATTATAATCATATTAACCTAAAAAAGATTATTAATTATCTTATTAAGCGTGATTACAAGTACCAATAATCTTTAAACATGCATAAAAGGCGTGATCAAGCAATAAAAATAAATATCAAGCAACATAATAATAAAAATAATCATAATTATAACAATCATGAAAACAATCATGTTAAAGCATAATAGCAAGATTATAGGTGATTAGGGGATTTTGCTCCCACCAATCGGAATGCGCCACGTGGGCCAATCAGGTCCTGCCAAGTGTCCCCCAGTTGGAACTGTCAGGGCTTGCCACGTGGCACACGCCTATTCGTCCACCCTGGACCTATTATGTCATGACACATGGCATCCTCCATGCCTAATGGAGAAACCGGCCACCTAGGCCCAACTTCCAAGGGAAGCCCAATCAGCCCTAGGTTAACCTAAACCTAGAATTGGCACGTTTCCCAAGGTTATAAATACCTCCCTTAATCCTCATTAAGAGAGATTACACACATAAAACACTCTCACCTAGAGAGACCCAATCACTTTTATTTCCGCATTAATTACTCCTTAATCAGGTACTAACTTGACCGTCGGAGGCGGATGTCAAATCATCCGGAGCATCCGTTTGTTTTGCAGGTACAGGCGTCCAGTTCCAGTCTCGGAATTGTAACTCTCCCGCAGGACATCAGAAAACCCAGAAACATTTTGGCGCCGTCTGTGGGGAGAGTACTTCTGAGATGGCATCCACGTCTGTACCGACTCCTGAAGAGAGGCGTCCCCTGGACGACCCTCAAGTTCAGTCCCCTGGACGACCCTCATGTTCAGTCGGACCACGATACTGACACAGCTTCAGACGGGACCCTAAGGGCCCGACGCACCCGCCATACCGAAAGGAGGGAACGAGAACATCTTCAAACTGGACTCGGTGATCCAGCCGGCGCACCGCCTGTTCAGCAGCAGCCGGCTGAAGGGTCTGCTCCCATTACAAGAAACGAACTCATGACCTTCACGAGGGGCTTCAAGGGAGAGATTCAAGAGTTGCTCAACAAGAAGCCTGCTCTGGCCAAGGAGCAGTCGGCTAAGAAACCTTCCACTTCAGGGAAGAGGAAGCCAGTTCAAGGGCGAGAGGCGACCCCTCATCCTATCTCTAGGAAGTGGGAGCCGCCTGCCCTTGATTTCACAAAGTACCGCTTTACTACTCCAGGAAAGAGAAAACCTGTTCGTCATATTCAGGCGGACGGGTCGAAGAAAACATACACAGATGCTCGGCTATTGCTAGAACAGAAGAAGAATGACCGATTGTCAGAGTCGGCCTCTACTTCAAACTTCCAAGACAGTCTACGCAATACCTCGATGAAGTATACTCAGTCGTATCATGAGAGTCAGTCAGGCGGCACCTCCCGTCAGTCCGGCTTTCATAGCGACCAGGCGGTACCAAACTTACCATTTGTACCGCAACAACAATATTTTTTGCAGCCACCTCTGTTTGGTGGGCATGTAGTAAAAAATGTCCAACCTATGGACTGGCAGCCACGGTTGCTTAGACTTGGGGAACAGCCGTCGGCCTTCTCCAAGGAAATTGCTGAAGCCGCTCAGCCGGCCAAAGTGAAAAATGTATTAGTAGGCGCCTATGACGGCACTACTAACCCAGAAGACCATTTGATGGCATTCACCAACCTGATGTACCTTCACGGGTTGGATGATCCCAATTGGTGCAAGTGTTTCCCAGCGACTCTCAAAGGAATCGCACAACAATGGTTCGGCAACTTGCCGACTGGTTGTGTAAATAACTTCAGGACGCTTGCTTACTTATTCACCTCCAACTTTGCCATGAACATACCTGCGAAAAAGACGACCCTTGATTTAGGAACGATTCAGCAGGGCGAGAAGGAGGGGCTTCGTTCTTACATCAGGCTGTTTAACCTGATGAGAATACAGATTCAAGGGTTACCGGATGAGGTAGCCTATACTGACTTTTTCAGAGGCCTCAAAGACGGATCGACATTCAAATTTGATTTGGTCCGAAAGAGGGTGGCGACTCTTCAAGAGGCCTTGATTGAAGCGGAAGCCTATATACAGGCGGCTGATCTTTGTAGTACAAAACAGTCGGACGGGAAAAGGTTCGACAAAAAAGGAGGGCGACAGAAACAGTTGTCGAACAAAGATGAGAAGAAAAGAAAAGAGGTCTGGGCGGCTGATTCCTCCAAACAGCCGGCCCAGAAGAAGAAAAAAGAATTCAAACCATACTCCCCAAAGTATGCGTTAAACAAGGATAGCCAAGCTATCCTAAAGGAAATCAAGGGACAGATAATTGAGAAGTCGGTCCCCATGAAGGGTTCTGCAAGCAACTGGAACCAAGAAAAGTTCTGTGATTATCATGAAGATGTTGGTCATCACACCAACGAATGCATCAGTCTCATGCGGTACCTGGACCGCCTGGCTGAGCAGGGCGATCTTGACACTTATGTCAAGAAATCTACGGGGAACACTTCCTCGAAAAAGCAGTCGGCCAAAAAGAGTCAACAAGCCGACAGCTCTGATACAGATGATGTAGTCGTCTACACCATTGCAGGCGGCTTCTCAGGAGGCGGCCCCACTATTAGGGGCAACAAAGACAATATCAGGCGGCTAGATGTAAATTCCGTTCACCAAGAACGGCCCTCCAAATATTCATTTCCTGAGATTGTCATCACTGAAGAAGATCTAGGAGGGGTAAGGGGGCCGCATGACGACCCTATAGTTATTGAGTGTAAAGTGGCCAACCAGAGAGTTGGCCGAATCCTTATAGATACTGGAAGCTCCTCAGATCTTATCAGTAGCAAATGTCTGTCAAAATTAAAATATCAAACTGATTGCATACATCCGTCATCCCACCCTTTAGTAGGGTTTGGAGGGGGAGTCGTCCACCCAGTGGGACGAGTGGATTTACCCATCCGCCTAGGTGAAAAAGGGGAAGGACGACACATGGTAGTCCGGTTCCTGGTAGTAGAAGAACTCTCGGCCTATAACATGATTCTGGGACGACCAACCCTGAATAATTCCAAAGCTGTTATAATCTCATCTCTTATGTTGCTCAAGTTTGAGAGGGATAATGGAACAGTCGGGTCCCTAAGGGGAGATCAGAGGATGACCCGAGAGTGCTATCTCTCGGATATCAAGCCCACTGTTATGACCGCTGGGTCAAGTGGTGGAAAAGCAGACCTTGACAATGTCAAGGAGAGTGCGCCTGTTCAAGAAGCAGGCGGCAAAAAGAGAATGGCAGCCCAGACGGGGGCCGCAAGAAAAGACAGAAAATAGCAATCATTGGCAGAGGAGCGGTCGGACGAATTCCACCCTCAGCCGGCTGGTGAGCTTACGGACGTGATCTTCGACGACTCACGTCCTGACCGAACAGTCAAAGTTGGGACGACTGCTCTGAGAGTCCTGGGTGACGATTTGCACAAACTATTGAAAGAATACAAGGACATCTTTGCATTCGAAGTCCAAGAAATGCCAGGCATTAGTCCTGACCTGGCGGTACATAAACTGGTTGTGGATCCAAAAAAGAAACTGGTAAGACAGAAAAAACGGAACCATGGCGAAGAAAGAAGTCAGGCGGCAGCCGCCGAAGTTAAAAAACTACTTGATGCAGGGTTCATTCGGCAATGTTACTTCCCAGACTGGGTTACAAATGTGGTGCTTGTTAAAAAGCCGAATGGCACCTGGCAAATGTGTGTAGACTACACAGACTTAAACAAGGCGTGCCCCAAAGACAGTTACCCTCTGCCTAAAATTGATAACCTGGTCGACTCAACAGCCGGCCATGCTTTGATGAGCTTTATGGACGCCTACTCTGGTTTCCATCAAATTCCTTTATGGAAGAAAGATCAGGAGAAGACGGCCTTTGTCACTGATCAAGGGTTATACTGTTACACGGTCATGTCGTTCGGTCTTAAGAATGCCCCGGCCACCTTCCAGCGAATGATAAACACTGTGTTCTTTGATCAGATTGGGAGAAACGTCGAGGCATACATTGATGATATGATTGTCAAGTCTAAGCTTCAGATAGATCATCTGTCGGATCTCCGAGAAACTTTCGCCACACTCAGGCGGCACCATGTCATGCTCAATCCCAAGAAATGTGTATTTGGAGTTGAGTCTGGGAAATTTCTCGGATTCCTTATCAATTAGAGAGGAATAGAGGCGAACCCTGAGAAGGTGCAGGCGGTCATCGACATGCAGTCGCCTCGTACCGTCTGGGAGGTTCAGAAGTTAACAGGTTGTCTGGCGGCCTTGGGAAGATTTCTAAGCCGATCAGGCGACAAATGCTTATACTTCTTCCAGGCCATTAAGAAGAAGGCAAGGTTTGAATGGGGGCCGGATGCTGAGGCGGCCTTCCAGAAATTGAAAGTTCACTTGCATTCCTTGTCAAGGCTGGTTAGTCCTTTGCCCAAAGAAGTACTCTACATGTACCTGGCCGTCTCTGATCATGCGTTAAGCGCTGTTCTTCTTGCTGAAAGAGACGGCTGTCAGCTCCCGGTCTACTTTGTCAGTCATGTATTGAAAAATGCC